AGGGCAGGCTAACTGTGGCCCCAGGTATGTTTACCTCAGGGTGGGGGAGGGTGCCAGGCTGTGTGTGCTGCGTGGCTGGGCTCTAGGCACAGCCACATGTCCCTGTGGGCTAAAGTGGGACATGGTGCTGGGGAGATGGCTGTGTGCCCGCTTCAGACACACCTCAGGGTCATTGCTGAGCTCGTGACTCAGCAGACACGGGTGCCTAGAACACGGACGTGGTGGTGTGTCTTGTCTTCAGCAAGTCTGCAGCAGACCTCTAAGACTTTCTAGAAAAGTAGTTGTGTGTGCATGAGGCCTTGGGTTCTCCAGCACCTCAAAAGAGGAGAAAGAAAAATAGAGAAGCAATGAAGGAAGGCACGTCCTTGCGAGGACAGCGTTTCTCTGACTCACGGTCATGTGAGAGAAAAGACCCATCGGCGAGCGACCCACACAAGCAAGCGCTTGCTGAGGGCAGTGGCGCGAGCCCGCAGCGTGATTGCTGCGGCGAGCACTGAGAGGTCTGGTGTCACTGGCCTAGGCGACAGTGTTCCTGGGTGTCCTTTCTCCTCAGGCTTAGAATAGAGTGTGTGTTTTTGTGCAGACACTCACCTCAAGGGTCGGCCATTCACTCCGGGCACTGTGCACCTCAGAACATGTGTTTGCCTCCTGGCCTGGCTGGCAGCTGTTGGGCACAGCTGGGCCTTCTGTGGTGTGTTGTTCTGCATGTGGGTGAGTGGCTTCCAAGCCAGCTGTGGACTAAGGAGGCCAGCTGGCTGCATGTCACAGAGGGACTGGGGCTCTGTGCGGGTCGTGCGCTGCTGAGCTGAGGTGCTGGGATTTGGCATTCGGGAGCACCTCCTGCCCCCGCCTCTGCAGGGGGCTCTTCCACTCCTGTGGTCTCTCTCACAGATTGTGGGCCCTGATTCTGTTCAGAATGAGCTCTTCTGGTGGGTGAGTTGTGTGTGGCCATTGCCACAGAGCTGGCATGCCTCCACCTGCCTACAGGGCTCGTGTGTGAGGCCTGCGGCTGCGACTGTTCTTGCAACCTCCCCAGAGGCCCCAGAATCGGGGGGGAGCCACCAGCAGCCCCTTGAGTTATAAGCAGGAGCAGCTGAGCCTTACGTGTCCAAGAGAGGGAGTGGGGCAGCCAGCGCAGCTGGGACCATGGCCCACCCACTGACAGGGGAAGTGGCTGTTTGCAGCTGAAGCGATTGATGTCTCGCCTGAGCAGGTCCCTGCACCCTGCTGTCCCCACCGGCTCTCCCTTGTCACCCTCGCTGTCTCGGGCAGTGTCTTCTGGGGCCCTGCCCTTTACATGATGTCTGTACCCCAGCACCTGAGAACCAGGCTGACCTGCACCTGGCAGCTGTGTGATTTCATGGTTTAGGGACACCAGTCCTCAGCTGGTTACTTTTTCAGCCATGGTAAAGCATCCTGATTGGTTTTTAAACTGTCAGGTTTTTTTTTTTTTTAAATGTTAGTATAGGATCTGCGGGGTCTCACTACATAGATCGGACTTGTAGTGATCCTCCTGTGTTCAGCCTCCCCAGAGCTGGGATTACAGGCGTGCACTGCCACGCCCAGCAGTGCACCCTGGGGGTGGGGACAGCACAGCATGCTGGGGATCAGATCCCGGCCGGCCGCTGAGTCTGCCTGAGCAGGCGCTTTAATCTGCTGAACTATTTGGCCAGCCCTCAAACTGTCAGTTTCGAGGTATGAATTTCACCAGGTCCTTAGTATTTGCCAACGCTTATAAAAATGAGTTTACTCCTGTGCAGGTCGGCTTTCATTCCTATAGTCAGTGAGCGTTAGCTCATCCCTCCAACACTGCACCTCCTACAGTCAGCGTGGGCTGAAGGCCTTGGCCTGGGGACAGGCAGAAGCCAAGGTGTGTGGTTTGTGTGGCCCTGGGCCTGGGCGGGGCTCTTAGGGAACAGTGCTGGTGGAGGGGCGTGTGGCCTGTCACTTCCAGAGCGTTTAGAAACATTTCATTTTGTGAGAGTCACCTCACATCAGCACAAAGGACAGCAGGCGGCGACACTCACTGGCACTTGGGTGCCCAAAGTCCCATACTGGGCAGTGTGAGTTCTTGTCCTTCCGTCTAGCTCTTTGCTTTTCAGGGTCCAGTTACCTCTTTCTGGGCCAGCACTGGCAGAGCCCACTGGGTCAGGACACCACTGGCTCCTGGTCCTTTGTGTGGACTTCACACAATCTTACTTTTAAAAGTAAGCAATGGAGGGCCAGCCAAATAGCTTAGCAGATTAAAGCACCTGTGAGCAGTCATGGTGAGGGGGGATTTTGATCCCCAGGCTGCCATGCTGGCCCCGCCCCTGGGGTGCCCTAAGACAGCAATTGAGACTGGGCGTGGTGGTGTGTCTGTAATCCTAGCTCTTGGGAGGCTGTGAACAGGCGGATCACTACAAGTCTGATCTAGTAGTGAGACCCTGTACACCCTGTACACCCTTCCCTAAAAAAAAAAAAAAAAAAAAAAAAAAAAAAAAGCAGTGGACACTTAGAGGCTGGCATTCAGGCAGAAGGGGAGGACCCCTTTTGGCCCCGTGACTGGTATGGTGCCCACATGTGGCAACCCAGTGTCAGTGCTGCCAGGGGTAGTGTCCGGCCTCCCCAGCCTTGAGATCCCACAGAGGCCAGAGGTCCTGAGCCTTTAACCTGGCCTCATTCAGGGACAGCAATTTGAATGTGGGACTAGGATTCAGGGGTTCTGCCGTGTGTGCCTTGGTTGCTCGTTCCGTGGGGTGATTAGCTCGGGCTCTGTCCAGTGGGCCAGGGACCACTTCGCTCAGTGGGCCTGAGCCCCTGGGCTTGGCCAGCCAGGTGGCTGCAGAGGGCAGAGCGTAGGTCTCCTGCAGCGCACACCCAGTGAGGTGACCCCGTGTCCTGTTCTAGAGCCTTGTTCTGCTGAGCAGTCATCGCGCTGTCCTGTGCCTCCTTCTGTTGTTCTTTCTCTTCCTGTGTGTGGCGTCCTTAGGGGAGGGGAGGCTCCCGTGGGTCTGTGCATACCCGTCCTCGTAGTCGCTTCCCAGCGTCCTGTCAGTCCTTGGCCTGAGCATGTGCTGGGTCCTCACGGAGACTCAGATCTGTGTCGTTTCCCTCCTCCGGCGTTGCTCACTTGGGAATTTAAGGTACCTCCCAGGTCCCTCGGATAGTCCTCTGATTTCCTTTTTTGCGCTTACACCCTTGGGGCATGGGTTTTGAAGGAAGGAAAAAGGCTGGAATTTTTCAGATGTGCTCTGGTTTCTGTTCCTGTGGTCTTAGCCAGGGGCATCCAGGGCTTTGTCTCCCATCTTGGGTGCTGCTGTTTGTGGGCAACATTCTGGTGGCAGCAGTGGAGCCAGCCCTGCCTGGCCATGCCTCAGCTTGCCCAGTCCTGACAGAATGTCCTCTCTCAGGAAGGGGTCGAGCATATGTGTGACTTAGGGCCATCACTGTCCGGGCTCCAGGTAGAGCCAGCCCCAGGGAGGGGCGGGAGAGATGTGCCCGAGTGTGTTCCCGTGAGGGTGTGCCTGCCTCGCACAAGCAGATTGGAGAGCTTCCCCTGTGGGGCTGAGCTTCCGGGAGTCTTCAAGGTTGTGCAGTGGATGTGTGGCGTAGCTGAGGAGTGCAGATGGCCCGCAGGTCCCGGCCCCGCAGTGCTGGCTCGGTGGCTGCTGCCTCGCATTCAAGTGGCCCTGTGGCGAGCACAGCATCTCCTGGGCGAGCTGACCAGAGCTATGTGCCCAGGCCCGCCACAGGGCTCCCTTGTGTCCTCAGGGGAGTCAGTGGCTGATGCTGAGCAAATGTTGATCTTAAAAATAGCACAGGCAGCATGGTGGCTCAGAGAAGAATGTGTGAGAATTCGGAGCCTGTTATGGAATGGCTCAACAGCCTTTTTTTCCATAGCACTGTAAATTATTGCTCCTCTGACTTTTCCCTTTTTAAAAAAATCCAAATGCTGGCTGAGCTTCAAGTGGCTGCCGCCCGACACAGCCGCTGAGTGTGCCGTGGGGCGGCTCCCCTGCCACAGGCCCAGTGCAGCCCAGATCGGCACAGGCGAGAGGGTCAACGTCGCTGCTGCCTGACTCCCGGCCTCCTCGCCTGTCTTCCCGGAGTCCCTCCTTGCTGCAAGGACACCTCAGTGTCTAGCCTACAACTGGGGCCCATCACCAGTCCCCAGAGCCCTGTTCTGTGACTTTGCCGCGTGGCAGGCAGCCCAGTGGTCTCCTGCTGGCTGGCCATGGGTCAAGCCCAGAGGAAGGAGCCAAAGGGAGTGAGATATGTACAGCAGCAGAGCATCTCAGAGACCATGGAGGCGTGGGAAGCTCGGCCACAAGTGAGCCACCTGTGCCAGGCTGCACGGTGCCCCTGGCTGACTGGGCTCAGGACCAGGTCACCTCCGAGGACAGCCCCACACCAAGGAGCTGTCCTGGAAGAACTGCAGCTGTTCCTACAGCACCTGTGCACACTGGCCTGCGTCCCTGCTCGGGCACCAGGGTGCCCCACCCTAGCCCCTCAGGTGGGCCAAGTGACTGTTTCTACCCCAGCTCACCATGAATTGGTCATCAGGTGACACTGGTTAGATCCACACATTTGGACACGATGCCTAATGTTTCTTCTGGGAAGCAGCCACACAAAGATAAGTGGACAAGCCACAGAGGAGAGCACGGGCTCCCTGGACCTCACCTAGATGCGCTTGTGTCCCAGCATGGCCTGTCCTGGGACACTGTGTGGTCTCAGTTCCTACTGCTGTGTGTTGCACATTCGTGTTGGTGGGTGGCTGCCTCTCTTCTCATCCTGTGCTTGGCGCCCGCCACGCAGCTGGGCAGGTGTGCACAAGGTGTGCTGGTGTGTGAGTGGAAGTGTGTGTGGCCACATGGCTTGGGTCGGCCCAGGCAGGCCCAGGTGTGGTGCATGGCATGAGCATCCGGGTGTGGACAGAGCAGGCCTGGACGCAGGGCTCAGCCTGCAGGTGACTTCCAGGGAGCAGGCCAGGGCTGCAGGTGCATTTGTGTGGTCCACAGAGCTGACGGGCGCTGAGCTGAAGGACTGTGTGAGTAGCAACAGCCTGAGCAGCAATGCCAGCCTCCCCAGCGTGCAGAGCTGCCGGCGCCTGCGCGAGAGGAGGGTCGCCAGCTGGGCCGTGTCCTTCGAGCGCCTGCTGCAGGACCCTGTCGGTGTTCGCTACTTCTCTGTGAGTAGGTAGAGCTTCCTGCTGCAGGGAACCCATTCCCGGGAGACTGTTACTCTGCAGGCTCCACACAGAACTCAGACAAATGTCGCCTTGTCCTTGCTCCTGCTTGAGGATCCGGAGTTGGGTGGACCCGGGCACACTCGCTTGGCCTTGCCCTCTGCCCCCTTGCACCTGAGGACCCCCTCCCCGAGGCTCTGCAGCAGGGTGCACGCAGCTCCACGTGCTGGAAGTCAGAGGCCCCTGCAGGGAGCACATGGCCAGCGTCAGGGACGCAGCTGTGAGCACCAGGGCGTGGTCCTTTGGGGGCTGCATGCTCTGCGGTTCCCCTTGGGCTCCCTGGAGCTCCCGTGGAGGTGCTGGGCCCGGGGTTCTGAAGCACAGGGAGGCGTCTCCACGCGGGAGGATGCTTGCGCAGGAGTGCCGCTCATCTCGGCGTGTTTCTCCTAGGACTTTCTGAGGAAGGAGTTCAGTGAGGAAAACATTCTGTTCTGGCAGGCCTGTGAATATTTCAGTCATGTTCCTGCACACGACAAGAAAGAGGTAAGCGTGCCAGTGTGCGGCTGTGCAGGTGGTGGCTGATGGCGGGGGTCAGACAGCCGGGTTCATGCCCAGCACAAGGGGAGCAGCTGACAGGGAGATGTTTCCGCGCAAGCTGAAAAAGGTCATTTCTTTTTCAGAGTAAAGTTTTAAATACATGTGATATTTAGTTCTGCCTAAACATAGTGGTGCAGATGCCTGCACCGCCCGGCTCCCACCCGCAAATGTATCCGACTCCACGTGTTGGGATTTTGGGGAGGGGACAACGGGGCTTAGCAGGGACCCAGGGATGCTGGAGGCAGAGCCCACCCTGGGCGGTGCGTGACCGCTGCTCTCCCAGCCCAGTGGCATACAGACACCGAGGCTGAGCCCCTTTCTCCTGGGCTGCACTTTGCCGAGAGCTTCCGTGTGACTCCCTGTTGGCCCAGGTCTGGTGCCTCCCTGGGGCAGCACCACTCTAGTAGCCCCTGAAGTGGCCATTTGGAAGCAAAGGGAGCAATTCCCACTGAGCTGCTCACTGGCTTGAACGTTTAGTTCTGCGCTCGAGATGGACCCCCACAGGTTGCTGGGGTGCTGAGCAGTGACGTAGGCTCGGGCGGTGTGGCTGAGACCCAGACAGAAACGCCCTGTGGGCCCACGTGCCGCCTGCTCAGACCTCTCTGCTGTCAGCTGTCCTACAGGGCCAGGGAGATTTTCAGTAAGTTCCTGTGCAGCAAAGCCACCATGCCTGTCAACATCGACAGCCAGGCCCAGCTGGCTGACGACATCCTCAATGCGCCACATCCAGACATGTTCAAGGAGCAGCAGCTCCAGGTAACCAGCAGCCCTGCGGTGCCCAGCCTGGGCACCCACGTGTCTGGGGGAAATGGCATTCCCGGGGTGACAGGCCATGATGATCCCTTTGTGAGTGAAGGGGTCTTCGCTTCAGCTGACCCCTGCACGTCACCACAGCCCACCATGTGACTTGCTTCATGTCATGGTGCCTGCTGATGGGGCTGACCAGAGCTCTGCAACCAAAAGGGCAGCCGAGGGGAGACCCAGGCTCGGAGCCTGAAGTCTGATGTCTCCTGCAGGCACATGCTTGCACACCACTGCAAGGTCACACACCCGAGCCCCACCGTCAGGGACGGGGCTATGTGCTTGTGCGGTGGGAGAGTATGGCTTGGACCCACTGCCATCCGGAGCATGCGCTCACTGGCCCCTGGGCCCAGCCAGCCAAGTGATCGCACTCGGCACAGAAGGGACCAGGCTTCCTTGCTGCTCCGTCCCCTCGGTATCATGGCATCGCACCATTCAGGGTGGTAGCTGGCTTTAAGCTTTACATAAATTCCCAGAATCTGCTCGTTTTCAGGGTGATAAAAGGAGGGTGACCTGGTCAGAGAAAGGAAGACTTAAAGGCGTGCTGGAGAGTGATGCTGGAGCCTCCCAGGCCTGGGGCGGTAGCTGAAGCCTCGCTGTGCTAGAGCCTGGCCTGTGGGCCTCTGTGGTCCCACACCCCTGGACCCGAAGGCAGCCATCTCTGTGCCCTGGGACCTCACTGTGTGGTGCTCGCTCCCCAGATTTTCAACCTGATGAAGTTTGACAGCTACACGCGTTTCCTGAAGTCCCAGCTGTACCAGGAGTGCATCCTGGCAGAGGTGGAGGGTCGTGCCCTTCCGGATGCCCAGCAGGTGCCCAGCAGCCCGGCTTCCAAGCACAGTGTCGGCTCTGACCACTCCAGCGCATCTACCCCCAAAAAGGTTCGGGGCTGGGGTGGGGCGGGGCTGGCTGTGGTCCCTGGCACCTTCTACTTGGTAACAACATGAGGCTGCGCCCTGCAGGGGGCAGGAATGCCTGGCCGTGGTGCCTGCTGTGCCCTTGGCCTGTGAGGGGTGCGGTGAGCCCTTGCACAGCATGCTGCCTGCCCTCAGCCGAGAGTGCCACATGGGTACCGAGCCTGCTTCTCATTGCCTTCATGAACTTTACCTTTGCCAACAGCTAAGTGGGAAGTCAAAGTCAGGAAGATCCCTGAATGGAGATGCAGGTGAGGAAGACAGTGAGAAGAAGCGCAGGGGGGCCTTCTTCTCCTGGTCGAGGAGCAGGAGCACCGGGCGGTCCCAGAAGAAGAGAGAGCCGGGAGGCCACCCTCAAGGTGCGTGTGTGGCAGGGTGGGAGACCAGGGTGCCTGGGCACACACAGAGCAGCGGGATCCCTCGCCTGTGCTCTGGCGGCCGCTGGCTTGCCTGGGTGGCAGGTGTCTTCCAAGGTGATTTCTGTTGTGAGTAGGTGGTCATACCCTTGGTGCTGTCTGTAACGGGTGACAAGAGACAGTTGTGCTTGGCCCTTGTCCTGTGGATTGCGGCTTCCACACTTCTGCCTCCTGCGTCCCAGGCAGAGGCCTGTGGAGCAGAAGCTGAAGGCCCAGGGAGCTGGAGGTGGCTTCCCACTCCCACCTTGCTGAAGGGATTGGTTTAGAGGAGTGAGGAAATGGCTGAAGCTGGTCCCCGGCCCGGCATCCACCATGCTGTGCAGTGACCACTGCCAAGTGGGGCCAAACCAGGTGCTGAGGCAGGTGCCAGCTGGGGCCCAGCACAGGGCTGTTGTCAGAATTGGGAGGGATGACCTCAGCAGGAGACGCCCAGGGACAGAGCCTGTGTTCGTGCTGTCGAGTCCTGCAGCTGCCATCTGGAAGGGCCTCCACTACCTGAGGGCTGGATTGCTGACTCGGACTTTCTGATGCAGCCGGGGCTGGGCCTGCAGGGAGCCTGGGGATCTCCTCCTTGGGGTGGGCCAGAAACTTGGGAAGCATGGGGACGACCAGTGCCCCGACCTCCTGTCCTCCGGCCCTGACAACCAGCAGCGGCACAGCCTGAGCGGGAGTTGGGCTATTTGAACGGCCTTCTGTGTTGGTGGCTGCTGCCACCTCCTGTTAGGGCTTTCAGGGAGGAGGCTGTGATGTGTGTCCTGGTAAGAAGGGGCAGGCGGTGGGGCCACGCTTGTCCATGGGACAGTTCCCTTCAGGTCCTGGTACTGTGCGTGCAGGAAGACAACCCATCCCAGACACGTGCCTCACTGTCTATGGAGCAGCTGCCGTGGGCCGGGCAGCCAGAGCCAGGCGGCAGTGGCAGTGTAAGGCGCCTGAGCCCTGGCCTTGGCTTCTGTGATGAGAAAAATGGGTTTAACTCTACCCTGTGGAGCCCAGAGGGCTGCCCAGGTCCCAAGTCCTCTTCCACCCTTCTCACAAGGGCAGCCTAAGAGGGCAGAGGGCTGGGAGGTGGGGGGAGGGGAGGTGTCGCGAGGAAAAGCGAGGCTGTGGCTTTCATTCGTCCAAACCTGTCTCTCCCCGAAGACGCCCTTCCCACCAATGGAGGCCTGTGCCGCCGTGAGTCCCAGGGCTCTGTGTCATCCGCAGGGAGTCTGGACCTGGTGAGTCGTCGCCCCTCTTTGTCCCCAGGGCTGAAGCTGCCTTGGCCTGCTCAGGAAAGGTCCGCCCGTCTCCTACCTGGGCAGCAGCACAGTGCACAAGGCTCGGATGCGGAAGGTGCTGTTTGAGGACCATGGGTAGCCCGGGTTCTTCCAAGATCTTTTCATTCTGACTTGGTTATTTTAAACCCCATTAAGAGCAAACGAAGTGCTCGGACACCAGGAGCTTTGTCTTGCTGTCACTGTCTGGCCGTCCCTTAACAACGCCCTGCGAGGTCACCACCCTCTGGGGTCTCCTGGGGGCCGGCCCCCACCCACAGCTCTCCCCACCAGCTCTCAGCTCTCCCAGCCTTGCCCACTTGTCAGGAGCTTGTGGGGTGCCCTGCATGGGCGTGGGCCTGCTGGTGCCAGTCAGTCTGGGAGCTCGTGTCCTGTGGCTCAGAAGTGCAGAGAGCAGTTAGTGCGAATGCTCCTGCACAGTGCTATTTACTGCTGCGGGGTAATGCCAAGCCCAGTGGGTAGAAGGAGCCAGGAGCACCTAGCTTTTCCTGTGCCTGGGGGTCCGGGGGAGCCCTGCCTGGGTCTCTAGCCCAGCCTGGCAGCTAGGTCACAGTCCTGTTTGGCCTTGGTGGGCTGTGGCTGAGCCAGGCGACAGTATCTTCCATACCCTGTTCCCATGGTGGACTTGGGGACCAAAGCCAGCAGAGCACAGAGACCTCTGAGGACCTGGGCTGGCTCCTGGCACAGCCCCATGACCCAGGTCGCAGTGCGCAGGCAGAGCATGTGCTGACAGAGCCTCCCGTGGACAGGGCTAGGAGTAGCCCAGCCGTTTCTCAGCCGTTGCTGCCTGTAGCGAGTGTCCTAAATTATGCTGAGGTGAAAAGATGCTTTCTTTGCCCAGTTTGCAGCAGAGTGACATCTGCAGGACACTGCTGGCAGAGGGGACATAGTGCCTCAAGTTGGACCGGGAGGACAGTATTCCTGCTTTGGCATATGTCTTCATGACTTGGAGGCTCCCGCACGTGCCCTCTGCCTGCAGGGTGGCGCCCTGCTTCCACGAGGGCTGTGCCCCCAGTGTGCATGGCCCAGAGAGCCTCTTGTGGTACCTCATCCTGGGCCACGGCCAGCTCTGCAGACAGTGTTGTGTCGTTGGGCCCGGGGCTCGCACTTGCTTGGAGCTGCCAGGGCTCAGGCAGGGGTGATGGAGCCAGGCGGGCCGCGTCTTCCCCCGGAGGTGTCCGTCCGCACCCTGGGACACCACGACCGCCTGTTTTCCTGCCCCCACAGCCAGAGGCCGGCAGGACTCTGGTGCCTGAAAGAGACAAGGCTGTGGAGCACTGCTGCATCCACCTCCCGGATGGCACGTCCTGCGTGGTGGCTGTGAAGTCCGGCTTCTCCATCAAAGAGATCCTGTCTGGCCTCTGTGAGAGACACGGCATCAATGGGGCTGCTGTGGACCTCTTCCTGGTGGGCGGGGACAAGGTACTGGGCCCATGTGGACCCGGGTCCCTTGAAGGAGAGCCGTTGCATCCCATCCTATCCCCACCTGGTGTCACCCGCCGGGCTTGGTGCCCTCACTCAGTGGGTGTCCTGCTGCTCTCCCGATACACAGCAGGGAGCAGGGTGTGGAGCAGGTTCTGGATGGGAAGGTCTTGCCTGACCCAGGCTGCGCTGGCCCTGGGCGGGTCCTGGGGGTTCACGGCAGGCTCCCGCATGACTGCACAGCTGTGTGCCCACTGCACATTGTTCTGCACTCCAGGCACCTGTGTGTTCCCCTTTTAACTGTGGTCTCTTTGTTCCAAAGCCTCTGGTGCTGCATCAGGACAGCAGCATCCTGGCATCAAGGGACCTGCGCCTGGAAAAGCGCACGTTGTTTCGGTAAGAGGGTGTTGGGTGCTGCGTGCTGATTCCATTCCACACTGCTGGCCTTCGTGTTCACCTGGGGCAAGGGTTGCCAGCGAATCCCAGGCACCTGGTGGGGGGCATGGGGACGGCTGCCAAGGGGTACCCCTCCTTCCTGCCCCAGAGCAGCCACCTCATCTGAGGGAAGTAGGGGACATTGGCTGTGCCAGACCACCGGCAGCTTTGCTCTTCTTCTTTTTTTTTTTTTTTTAATTCTCCTGTCTTCTTTTTTAAAATTATTTATTTATTTATATGTGTGTGTGTGTGGCCAGCTCAGCCCACCAGGGGGCGTGGCTGGCTGGCATGTGGTGCTGGGGGATTGAACCGTGGTCCCTGTGCTTTGCCAAGCTTGTTCTAAGTAGGTGCTTTAGACCACTGAGCCATCTCGCCAGCCCGAGCTTTGCTCTTCTGTGCCGAAAAAGTCTGCATCTCCTACTCCATCCAGCTCCCAGTGCCAGCTAGTTTGGCACTTGCTCCTAAGGCAGGCAGGGCCGGAGCAGGGCCAGGCTGTGTGCTCCCGTACTGTCTCTGTCATGGTGTCTCTGAGCGTGTTCATGCCCCCAGACTGGACCTTGTCCCGATTAACCGCTCCGTGGGACTCAAGGCCAAGCCCACCAAGCCTGTCGCGGAGGTGCTGCGGCCAGTGGTGGCCAAGTATGGCCTGGACCTGGGCAGCCTGCTGGTGCGACTGGTGAGTGGCGGCCCCTGTGCGCCCCGTGGCTGGTCCTCATCTGTGGGTAGGTGCAGGGTCTGCGCCCACCTCTGGCCTCTGGCTTGTGCCACAATCGTTCTGAAAGGGATTCACAGTGGCTGCGAGACCACACGGCGGCAGGGGCGATGATGTGGGGTGTGGCCCCATGTTTGGTTGCTGTCAGCCTCCCACCACTGCAGGCCTCAGAACCGCCCCAAGCGGCTCCTGCACACAGGGCTGCTCCCTAGTGATGTGAACGAGGGACGAGGATGGCGCTGGGTGGGAGGACAGCAGGCCCCTACCCAGCCTGTGCCCGGGGGCCAGGGAGCATGTGCCTGGCATCTTTGTTGCCTTTACTGGAGCTTTGGGTCCAAGTATTTTTAGAATTCTCATTTTCTCTGAAACTGGCCTCAAACTTGCCTAGGAGCTTTGACATAAAGAAGAGGAGTCTTTTTCCTGTTTAGTTATTCACAAACCCCAGCTCTGAGGGTGACCTGAAGCTGCTCCTCTACTGCAGGCTCCACCCAAGCCCAGAAAGCTTCAAAGTGGAGCTGGATCTGGTCTTCACTCAGCTGAAAACCTAAGCAGTGCCTCAGTTTCCGTCTGTAAAATGAAATGCAGAAGAGCTGGCTGGGGTTCGCTGAGTGGCGGGAAGACTGTGCCCTTCCACGGCACCCTGAGGCCTGGGAGCAGCCTGTGTCTGTCCTTGCCGGCAGGCAGCGTAGACTGCAGCCCGGCCCCTCCGAGCAGCGGCATGCCTGGCGGTCTGCTCCCCAGAGGGGCCGGGATTTGAGGTGCCGCCGTGCACCCTGGGGGCCTCTGATGAACGGCTGCTGTCCCCTTGCCTTGGCTGGCACTGAGGGCACCCTACTATCCACCTGGGTTCAGTGTCTGTGCTCAGGGACACCGTGAGGTCACGGGCAGTGCTGACTGTGCACACCAGCATTCGTATCTGAACGTGGTGTGTCACCTGTGTGCAGAGGCCCCTCGCGGCCTGTGGAGTCACAGATGAAAGGCCGCAGTGCCATGGGCTGGCCTGGCTCCAGGGCCAGCTGTTCTGGAAGTTCCAATCCGGAGTGTCCTCAGCATATTGCCTCTGCCTTAGAGTGGAGAGAAGGAGCCCCTGGACCTTGGCGCCCCAATATCGAGCCTGGATGGACAACGAGTTGTCCTGGAGGAGAGGGACCCAGCCAGAGGCAGAAGTGAGTGACAGCATGTTGCCAGTCCCTCTGCCCCGCCTGCTGCTTGGGTGGGGGACAGTGTTGTCCCATATTACTACTGTGGGCATCTCCAAGGGGCATGGACTGCCACATGCTTTTGACCCTGCAGGCTGTATTTTTCCACTAAGCTGGGCCTGCCCCCCATGGAGGAGTGCCTGAGTGCCTGTTCTCAGCTGCAGGAGGGTGACAGTCTGCCTGTTCACCCTTACTTGCCTGGGCCTTGGGGAGCTTCAGCCAGAAGTGATAGGGGGCACCCTCTTCCTGGGGTCTGAGTCACTCTGGACAAGGGCCTTCCTGGTCCTTTAGCTGCCACCTGGGCCTGGAGCCATCCACTGGGGAGAAACAGACTAGGCCATGAGGATAGTGGTGGGCATGGTCTACCCAGTGGGAGCTATAGTCAGGCTGACTGTGGCCTGCTGTACTTGGTGCCTCTGGTGGTTGTGACAGCCCTGTCCTTGGAGGCTAGGAGCCCTGCTCAGCCCTGTGCTTCCCCAATGCCTCAGGAGCCTGTGCCCTTCTTCAGGGACTGCTGCCATGGGTGGGCCCCAGTGTGGTCCATGGACTGTCTGGGTGAAGGGACTGCAGGGCAGGTCTCATGTGGGTGGAGCGGGTCACACTGTCCACAGCTGCTCCAGGTAACCTAGGTTGCCCTTTCCTCTCAAGGGCTGGCCTGGGGAGTCTCGAGTGCCCCCTCTGAGGTGAGCCACACGTGGTCTGGGGTGGGCTCCTGTCCATCCTTGTTCCCTGCCCCTCCTCTGCATCGCACCTGTGCCTGGCCCCAGTGACACTGGGTGAGAGCTACATGTGCAGCCCCGAGGGTCACCAGCCCGGCCAGAGCTGCCTCAGCTCCTCCAGGACCCTGCAGGCTTGGCCTGGGTCCTTGGGCAGTGCGTCTTCAGTAGGGCTGTGACTGGTGCCCATGCACGAGACGTGCTGTGCCAATGCAGCCCTGTGGGCCTGGGCAGCTGGGGCTGGGCAGTGCTCCTCAGACTCAGGGCCCTGAGGCCAGCCTGTACCCCACCACCGGCTGGAGCTGGGCACGCAGTCTGTGCTCCCACAGAATAGGCAGCCACTCAGCCACTGAGATGAGGTTTCGACACTGCTCTTCCTAACATGCCCAGCCTTCCTTAAGGAGCAGTGCTGGCCCCTATGCCCTCAGCTGGCAGGCAGTGGGCAGGGCCCTGCGATATCTCAGGCGCTGGCTGGCACGGGCACCTCGCACCAGGGAGGGTGAATTCCAGTGGCTCCTTGGAGGTGGGAGACTTGAACGGTGAGACAGCTTCAGGTCCCAGCTCACCCCGGTGTGTTTAGCACCCACAGATAAGCAGAAGGGTCCCCCGGCCAAGCCCAGCACAGCTGCCAGCTCCCGCGCCAGAGACCGCTCGGCCACGGTAATCCCTGCACGCTTGTCCGCCGCCCCTCGGCCCCTCCCAGCCCCCCCCCCCAGGGCAGGCCAGCCCCTCTGCTCCCTTTGCTGACACAGCCCTCGCTTGGGCTGGGCTGCTGCCCTGCGCGCTTCCCTGAGGCCCCGAGCCGTGCGCGGTTTGCCCCAGCCGTAGGGTCCTGTGGGGGCCCCGGCCATCGCGCGGGTCTCTGACACGTGTCATTGCAGTTGGTTTTCTCAGTGCATACAAATCCCATGTCCCTGTGCTGTGTCTCACGCAGCCTTTTGTCCGTGATTGCTGTGTTGTGTGTTGCCGTGTGTTGCCGTGTGAGTAGAGCTATGACTTTCCTTCCGATGCAGGGAGAGGAAAGAACACTAGGCAAGTCTAATTCTATTAAAATAAGAGGAGAAAATGGAAAGAATGCTAGGGATCCCCGGCTTTCAAAGAGAGAAGACTCTATTGCAAAGATTGGGAAAAAAAAATATCAGAAAATTAATTTGGACGAAGCAGAGGGTATGTGTACTTTTTAAAACTTCCACGTTTTTCAGTAAATGCACTACCGGTTTCCACTCTGCCCGTCCACAGCTGACAGCTGCGGCCCCTGCCGTCCTGAGGCTCTGGTGCAACGTTGCTGAAACTCTGTGCAGGCTGAAACGGGGCCTCCCTAGGAGCCTGGAGCCCCCGGGTCCTGCAGCCCAGCCAGCCTGCCCTGAGCTGGGCCAGCGGGGGGTGGGGTGGGTGTCAGAGTCAGGGTGCTTCATTGCGGGGGTCCCACCAGACAGGAGAGGGAAGCGGGTCTCAGGCTGGTAGGGCTGTGGGTGTATGGCCTCTGCTGGCCATCAGGGGCCAAGGCCTCTGCCCCGTGCAGCAGGACCCTCAGAGGAGCGGTAGGCACTGGAGAGGGAGGAGGCCCTTGCAGGAGCTTCTCCGTGAAGAGCTTGTAACAGAGGGGGTCAGCACGACCAGCTGCTGTGGTTGGGGGAGCCCTGGCCAGACTGCACCTGCAGCCACAAGTGTTTCTGAGGATTGGAATTTCTTAGGCTTCATGTAGATTAATTTCATCAGAGAACGTAATGTGAACACTGTTGGCACTCTGCTCAGGAGCCTGCGCTCCGTGGGGAGCTTGAGTGTGTAGCCTCAGGCCAGGGGAGAAAAAGGCGCTGAAGAGCCGGGGTGCAGTCAGGCTGCTCAGTCCTCCGGGGGCCACAGGGGCAGGCCGGTGTGACCCAGCAGATGTCTGGCCCCGACTTCAGGGCCGTGGCTCTGGCACCCTTGTCTGGCCATCGCTTCTCCCTGGTCCTCAGAAGGGTACTGCACTCAGGTGTGAAGAGGCCAGATGGTCACAAAACTCCAGGTGCAGCAGTGCCCTGCCAGGCACCCCACGTACACCGCCTGTGGGCAGGGGCTTTGCACCTCCAGATCTGGACCGTTCCCTGTCGAGGATTGGCCGTGTGAACACAGGGTGGGGGGGCAGGGTGGCGCCAATGGGTGTGGCCGCGCTGGCCCTTCAGCGCAGTGACCCCTGGGAGGGATTCCGGGGCGAGCCCCTGCTGTGGTGCACAGCCGTGCGGCTCTCTCTAAGACCCAGTCCTTGTGGGTTTTCTTCCAATAGAGTTTTTTGAGCTCATTTCCAAAGCTCAGAGCAACAGAGCCGATGACCAGCGTGGGCTGCTGAGGAAGGAAGATCTGGTGTTGCCCGAGTTTCTCCGCTTACCTCCTGGCTCCACGGAACTGCCCCTCTGCACCCTGGCTCCCGCCAAGGGCTTTAGCAAGAGACCTGAAATGGCAGGCCGTGGCATGGAGAAGGCAGCCCTGCCCAGTGACAGCCCGGCCACCAGCCCCGGCTCGGCCCAGAGCCCCGGCTCGACCCAGAGCCCCGGCTCGGCCCAGAGCCCCGGCTCAGTGCACAGTTCTCCTGGGCCTCCTGGGGCCACCCTGCCTGGGCAGAAGGTGCAGGAGGGCACCACGCAGGTCTGGAGGAGGCAGTCTCAGGAAATCGAGGCCGGGGGCGTCCAGACGGAGGACGAGGCCGGGGCTGACCTGACCCTGGTGGGGGAGGGGGACATCAGCAGCCCCAACAGCACGTTGCTGCCGCCGCCCCCCAGTCCCCAGGATGTGCTGGGACCTCCGAGACCAGGTACCTCCGGGTTCTGACCCTGCACCCCTGGCCCTGTCCTGCCCACGGCCCTCAGTGTGGGTGCTCAGTGTCCAGTGAGGGCACAGCCATGGTGGGCGGCCTCTGCCCCGCTCCTGCCCTCTGGGGGACGCGGCCTCCTCTGTGACAAGTGACAGCTTTGGTGCCTTCTCTGGAAGGAGGGAAGCGGTAGCAGCTGGGGCTCCCCCAGGGTGGGTCCTCGAGGGGCTCAGGCCAGAGGGGCAGTGCGGAGTGGCTCCTGTGGGCCTGCCCAGGACCTGGAAGGCAGAGCTTCGAGGCTACCAGCACGGCCAGGATTTCTGAAAGTGGGTGTTAATTTCTCAAACCTACGCAGCCCGCATCTTTAGTTTTCATCTCAAGATGGCAGAAGCATAGTCGTCCTGAGCGAGTCAGCCCAGCCCCCGGCCCGTGCGGGACTGCCGTGCCCTGCCGTAGCTGCCCCCTCTGTGCACTGGCACTCAGCAGGCACACCACCTCAGTGGTGCCCACTGCCCTTAGCATGGCCGACGTTGGGAGTGGAGCTGTGACATTTAGTGTGTGTGGCCGCGGACGAGGTGGCCAGGCGGCAGTGCTCCTGGCAGCCACTGGACGAGCAAGGCCCTCACCTGTGCAGGCCACGGCGTTCGTGGCTGGGGGGCTGCCCTTGGGAGTCAAGTGCCTTTCAGCACAGGCTTCCTAGGGCGTACAGGGTGAGGTGTCCATACCCAGTGTCTGGGCTGTGACCTGTTGTCAGGGTGACAACAAAGGTCCCCTCCCTCACAGGGTTAGGTGGTCCCAGACACCCCAGAACTGGGTCTCATGGGACCTCGGTGGGCCGGGGAGGCCATTCCCAATGCATGTTCCCTGTATCTGTGCACGTCGGGCTCTTTGCAGGCACAGTTGTGGGCAGTGGGCACTAGCTCTGGTGGCCACACTGTCCTCTGTGCCTGTGTAGACGCCTGTGTGTGGTTTCTACCTGTGTCCTCCATCTGCTCTTCCAACAGTAATAAACTCTCATCTTTCACTGTACTGCTTCAAACTCTTTTCTTCTTCATTTGAAAATGTGTCTCTCTGGAAAACTAGCTTCACTTTCTTGACTCTAGAGGAAGTGGTGCACACCTTGAGGACAGTAGATGGCTTTACCTTAATATAGTGGCCTTTAGAAATACCTCATTCACTCCACCAAACTCCCATGCCCACGTGTGTGCCAGAGGCAGCAGGGTGGCAGAGGAGCGGCTGTCCTGTTCCCATCCAGTCCAGGGGAGCAGCCAGAACACCGTCAGCTGGGTTCCGTCACCAGCGGCGCTGCAGCCCTGGCTCTCTCTGGCCGCTGTGCAGATAGGCGTGGGAGAGTGCACAGCCTCTGGCATCTTCCTGAGTGGTGTGGAGCCCTTCGCCACTCGCTGCCAGCTGTGTCTCTGCCTCAGGGGTGACCAGTCTGCGAGGTTGCCTGCACAGGAGCAGAAGGGGCAGGAGGGAAGGATGGCACCAGCCCGTGGACCTGGGGTTCTGTTGTGGAGGAGGCGTGGCATGGGAGGGCTTTGCTGGAACTCTAACCTGTGCCCCGCGTCCCGGGACAGCCATGCACCAGGACCTGCACAGGGTTCCTAAGGTGCTGGCCCCGCTGTAGCCCCCTCTGGGCACCCCAGTGAGTACCCTGCTGCATGGGGACGTTGGGCTGTCTGGCTGTCTGGCTGACCTTCTGTCTGTCTGTGAGCACCCTTGCTGTATCCCTGGCGGCAAGGGTTCTCTGGAGTCCTGACTGCACTGCTGAAGGCCGTGTCTCCATGTGGAGGGGAAGCCCCCGAGGGCCCTGGTCTGTGAGCCCTCAGGTCCTACCTGGGAGCGGCTGGTGAACCATGGCCAGGCCGAGGGCCCTGGCCTGGAGGCCTCCTTTCCTCCCCATGGGACACGCTGTCAGGTCCCCGCGTGGCTCTGAGGAGGCTGTCCCTGCTCACGGTCACCTACAGGGGCCTGAGGCCTGGAATGAGGTTGGACCAGGGCCCACAATGTGATCAGAGTCCTGGGACCCACCTGCCACCCCCAGGCTGGCTCGTCCCCACCCTGCTACCACATCACACCTGCTGAGCACAGGATACCACGGCCGAGCCGTGGTCAGGCATGCCTCCCGGAGCACGTCCTGTGCCAAGCTTGGGCCTGCAGCTGAGCCAGGCGGACTTCAGTCTTGCTCCCCCTCCCGCCCCCCGCAGATGCTGGGGCCCTGGCCAGGCCCCACACTCCTCTGCCCTCTTTCCTGGGTGGTCCCTGCCCCATCCTGGGCCCTCCCTACCCTGCACCCAGCCCCTGGATGCTCAGCACCCATAGCCCCTGCCTGGCCTGCCAGCGTCCCCTCTTGCTTGGTGTCATCCCCTGCCTCCGTGGTGCCTGTCCTGGGTCACAGTTACCCTGCCATTGAGGACCTTTGACCCAGCCCTGCCCCTCCTGAGCTGGGCCCTATGGAAAGGCAGCTGTGACCTCTGGATGCCCAGTGGGGGTGGGGACATGGGCACGGGGGCCCCAAGAGCTCCAGGCCCTGGTGCTGGGGCAGGGCAGTAGCACCCTGGCCTCCGAGCCTGCTCCAGGCTCTCCAGCTCTCTGTGGCTCCCAGCGCCCAGCTCTGCTGTCTCTGTGTCTCTGGAGAGCACAGGGCAGAGCCAGGCATGGAGGTGCTGGGCACACAGGGCAGAGTTCAGGAGGGGCCGACCCCATGGACAGCTGTGCCCTGCAGGGCAGGACCTGTGCTCCCAGGTCCCCACAAGCTTGGGGCCTGGAGAGCCGGTGGAGAGTGGGGGTGGGTAGAGCTGCACTGACCCAGCTCCATCCCGGAGCAGAACTGCTGAGGGGCAAGCAGGGACCTGAGGACGCTGGGTGGTGCACAACCAGAGAGCCAGGCAGGCAGGGCACGGTGGTGGGATGTCCACAGGGGCTGGGGGCCAGGCAGGGAACTACTACTATGCACTCCAGTGAAACCGGCCTTGTGGGCAGGAGGGCCTGAGCTGTAGCCACTGTCTCTGTGACATCCCCAGTGCCGTCCCTGCACCTGTCACTATCCTGAGAACTTGGGCTGGCTGTCCAGAGCTGAGAGGCCTTAATTCTCCAAGCTGTGGGTCAGTGAGGGGCAGACTGGGCTGAGACCTGCTCTCCACTCCTGGGTCATCTTTAGGCCCCTCACACATGGCACAGGTAGGGAACAACTGAGTCCCAGTCAGCCCGAGCAATGTTTGATGAGGGACTAGAAGTCCCGACTGGGCAGAGCTTCCGGTCTAGATGCAGTGCAGGAGGAGGCTGGACCAAGTCCTTCACCCCACCCTCAGCTCCTCAGGGCTCATGGAAGCCCATTCTAGAAGCTTGAGGTTGGGTTGTGACATGGTGCATGGGGTAGGGGGCTTGGGGACTACATGGGAAGCAGGGTCTTCACCTTACCTGCAAGCCCTCCCTGTCACAGCTGAGGCCAGGCTGCAGGGTGGGGTGGGGCCCCTGCTGGGCTGATCTCACCTCCTGTGATTCCAAGAGGACGGAGGAGACGGGCCCAGCAGGGGACATCCTGGGCCTGCCCCACCGTGCAGGTCACCCCGCCAGCCCTGCAGGAGTCCAGACACCACAGCTGGGTGAAGTGGACACAGGAGGTGGCAGCATGGGTACTCTGAGGCAGGGACAGCGACCCGGCCCTTGGGCAGATGCAGGGGGAGTGACCTCAGGGAGCTGGGCAGGAGCAGGCCAGAGTGGGCAGAACTGGCAAGGCCATGACAGCTGCCAGGAGTTAGGATTACCCTGTGGACAGGGGCCCCGCCTGTCTCTGAGCTGTCGTGGGGTGCAGAGTGGGATGAGGGGGCTTGGGGGCTGCTGCAGCCCGCCCTGCCACCCTCTGCCTAGAGCCCAAGTCCTGCTGTCACCTGGGTTGCAGATACTTGCGCACTCCACTGCAGCTTGGGGACAGTTTTGACCCTTGGGGTCACAGGAGCTCCAGTGTCCCTGGGCAGAGAGGCCTGTCTTGAGGCTGAGATGTCCGAAGGCCTGGAGGTGTGGGGAGGGCTGGGGAGCCCTGAGATGGGCGCAGGATCGTGGCCCCGGCCTCCACAGGTCCTGGCACCCTGCTATGGCAGTCCTGCCGCCCACCCAGTGCTGCGTGCTGCTCTCATAAGTGTGAAGTGCTGGTGCATGGTTGCTTTGCCCAGGGACCTTGGATGCAGTGGGGGCTCCAGGACTGGGCTCTGGGCGTCAGGGCTGGGTCGTCGGGTGACAGCTTCTTTCCTCCCCGTGACAGGAGGCAGGGCCCGGAGCAACCGAGGCCTCCCAGTCAACAGAACCTTCGACGTGGACCTCGTTGCTGGTGCAGCGCCAGGGGTGTGGCCAGGCCCTGGGAGGGCGACGCCCGTGGGGCCCCCAGTGTATGACCACCTAGGCCAGGGCCCAAGCCCTGGGGAGCCCAAGACCAAGTTGAGCACCCACCATGCTACTTTTGTCTGAAGCTGTTCCTCCTGGCCTGGCATACACCTCGGTGGGCTGAGCCCCTGGGCCCTGGAGATGTGTGGTGGCCACAGCCTTAGGAGTCACACAGAGGACAGACTAATGGCCTTGTCCCCTGCCAGCTCCACATTGCCCCTTGGCACCTGCCTCACAATAAAGTCTTCGAGGACACATGCGTGGGCCTTATGCTGAGCTGGAACACTTGGGCGGTCACTCCACAAGGGGCCTTGGTCAGCCGTGGTGCCTGGGGTCAGGGGCCACTTGGTTAGGTGCATGGGCCCAGAGCTGACCTCAGCCGGGCGCAGCCCATGGTGCTGTGTGGGGACCCCTGCCCACTGTGCTCTTGTGCCCCTGCCCTTGACTTCACTTAGAGGGAGACCTGGGCAAGCCTGGTGAGAACTGGTATGTCAGGCCTGGGCAGAGGGCTGGAGACACCATGAGTCAGTGATCACCAGGCTTCCCGTGGATGGGAGCCCTGCAGAGCGGGACACAGGCCCAGCACTGTGCAGCTGGCTGGACCAGCAAGGCTGCCAGACTGCTCCGCTGTGCGTGGGGAGGCATCAGGAGGGATACAGGAGCTGGACCTCTGTGCGGGGACTCGCACCAAGCACCCACTGGCTTCCGCACTACTGCATCACCACCCACTGTGCCCCCAGTACCCACTGTGCCCAGCTGGCTGCTCACCCAGGGTCTGCTGTCCCCACTTTTGCACAGAGGAAAGTGGAGGTCCAGGGAGGGGTTTGGGTACCCAGACAGATGTCTGCGCTGAGCCGATGCCCAGCCACACTGGGGGATGGGTCCTTCCCTACTGTGCCTGGGGCTGTGGACTCGGCATGGGGGTCCTGTAGCCCCTGGGAGTTCACAGGAGGTTCCTGAGACAGCTGTGCCCCAACCCCAAGTCAGGCACAGGGGTGTCACTCTGCTGTCTGGTCCCCGGCAGGTCACCCAAGGCACAGCAGTTGATGCCTAAGGCTGGGGCTGGGAGAGAGGGTTCCTGGGCCCAGGACACCCAGAGGGAGGTGGCAGAGGGTCTGTCCTGGGCTGTTACACAAGTGCACAGCTGCCCTCAATGAGCCTGGCAACAGAAGCAGAGACAGACCCGCCAAGCCTGGGGGGGGGGGGTTCTGGGCAAGGGCCTGGGCCCCAACTGTCCCCATCAGCCTGGACAGTGCATCCAGAGGAGGGGAGCCCTGGGATGGCCTTGGGTCCAGGCCAGCACAGAGCCATTGCCCTGGGCAGTTGGGGGCAAGAGGTGGGGGTGTGGGTCTCCTCCTCCAGGGCCTTAGGGACTGCTTGGTTAATCATTGCCCCATGCATGGCCTTGACCTCCCTCAGTTCCTGTCCTCCGACTCCTGCTTCCCTGGGAGCCCACACAGCTGCTGGAGGAGCCATGGGGCACTGGGCCTGGGTCCCTGGCCCCCTACCGGGGCTGTGCCCCTTCCTATTGCTTCTGCTGCTGCTGTCCTGGGAAACCCAGTCCCAGACTGGCAAGGTGAGACTGACCCCTGTGCAGGCTGCCCACATAGGCTCCTTGGATGAGGCCCGGGGTAGGGGCCCCAGGACCAGAGGCACACAGATGAGCGGGGCGTGGGCTGCCCTGGCTGCCCCCTACCACCGCTTGGGGCTGTGGATCCCAAAGTTTCAAGAGGAGGGCTGGGAGCCTGTGGGTCTCCAGAACTGACCCAGGGTCCGGCCAGCCCTGAGCTGCAGGCTGAGGACTTGCTCTCGGAGGCCTCGGGAGTACAGATGCGGGGCCCAGTGCAGGCAGAACCTGGGCCTGAGCGTGTGGGCGCTGTTCCAAGCAGTTCCATAGCCACCCCTTCAGCACCTGGAACTACACAGAGCCCCCAGGACCGAATGCCACAGCCACTCTGGGAGCCCTTCTGATCTCCGTGACCTCGGTGACACCCAAGACGCCAGCAAGAAGCGCTCCGGAAGCAGAGGTGGAAGCACGCCATGGTGGGGAGCACCCCAACCCAGTCGGGGCATCTCCCACCAGTAGTGTTCCCGGGGGTCAAGGTGAGTCAGGGATGTAGGCACATCCTGCACACCTGGTGGGCTGCTCAAGTGTGGGCGGCTTTGGGGCTCAGTGTGCGGGTGGGGGGCACAGTGAGGCTCAGAGCCTGACGGGGCAGGGTGGAGGTGGGCAGCGGTGTGGCCAGGGGCCGCTGACCCTCCACGCCCCCCCATGTCTGGCAGTGCTCACGGAAGCTGGGCGGCCCTGCAGGTTCCCGTTTCGCTACGGTGGCCGCATGCTGCACACCTGCACCCTGGAGGGTAGCGCCCACAGGAAGTGGTGGGTCTCAGGAGCACCCTAGCAGGTGACAGAGCGACTGGAGTGCTCCGGGAGTCACAGCTAGGACCCCTGTCACGCCTGCGTCACCCCCAGGTGTGCGACAACTCACAACTATGACCGGGACAGGGCCTGGGGCTACTGTGTGGAGACCACCCTGCTTCCGCAGGGCCCAGGTGGGTGGAGGTGGAGGCAGCCTGAGCCCTGGCTTTGGAGAAGTGGGCTGGGGGTCAGGGTCAGAGTGCTGAGTGGGTGGAGACCACCAGAAGACAGTGCTGGCCTGGGGTGGGAGTCCCACCTGGAGCGGAAGAGAGGCCTAGTTCATCCTGTCGCTGGCAGCCCAGGGACCTGTCCTCCCCTGGCCTACTGGTGGTCACAGCCATTGGTAGGGCCACAGTGCCCCCTGGTGGTAAAGCCCGGCCCTGTGCCAGGGAGGCAGGCCTGAGACAGGCTAGGGCTGTGGGGTGAAAGGGAGCCAGTGTTCAGGTCCCTGGGGGCTCTGAAGACTCTTGCCTCCCTCCTGTCCCTAGCTGCTCTGGACCCTTGTGCATCTGGGCCCTGCCTCAATGGTGGCACCTGCTCTGGCACCCAGGACCCCGCCTCCTACCTCTGCACCTGTTCCCCAGCCTTCACTGGCAGGGACTGCGGCACTGGTAAGGGGCTGGGTGGGGTCACGGGAGAGTGGGCGGGCGGGTAGGAAGCAGGACTGGGGCTCACTGTGAGACTCCCAGAGAAGTGCTTCGATGAAACCCGCCACGAGTACCTGGAGCCGGGCGAGCGCTGGGCCCGCGTGCACCAGGGCCGCGTGGAACAGTGCGACTGCGTGCGGGGGCACGTGCAGTGTGAAGGCACCCATCACACAGGTACACAGTTCCACACCCACCTGGGGGTCCCGGGCTGTTGGGGATGCCCTGGGCCCCCAGCAGAGCAGAGGGAACCCTGAGCCCCAGGCCTAGCTGCTGAGCCTCCCCAGCATGCCCGAACAGCCCGTGCCTGAACGGGGGCACCTGCCACCTCATCGCGGGCACCAGGACCAGCGTCTGTGCCTGCCCACCAGGCTATGCTGGGCGGCTTTGCAATATTGGTGAGCCACACGTGGGGGCTGGCGGCTGGGGTGTGAGCACGGAGCGCTGCCTGGTCATGGCTCACTCCCACCTGCCGCCCGCAGTGCCCTCCGAGCGCTGCTTTATGGGCAATGGCACAGAATACCGTGGTGTGGCCAGCACAGCGGCCTCCGGTCTGGGCTGCCTGGCCTGGAACTCCGACCTGCTCTACCAGGAGCTGCATGTAGACTCGGTGGACACTGCTGCCCTGCTCGGCCTAGGCCCCCACGCCTTCTGCCGGTCAGCACTTGTGGCTCACGTGGGGCGGGGTGCCTCTGCCCAGAGCTGTGTGGGGGTCGCCTGTGGCTGCACCCACAGCCCGTCCTCTCCTCATCCCTCAGGAACCCAGACAAGGATGAGAGGCCCTGGTGCTACGTGGTGAAGGACCACGCACTCTCCTGGGAGTACTGCCGCCTGGCAGCTTGTGGTGCGGGCTCAGGATGAAGCCAGGCTGGGTGGAGGATGAGGTGGTGCCTGGCTCAGGCCTGGGAAGGCGGCCCCAGGGCCCCCAGGGCCCTCTGCAGGGCTCTATGTGCAGCCCATCCTGGCCTTCACAGAGCCTCGAGTCAGTATTTGGCCCTCCCAGCTACAGAAAGGGAAACTGAGGCTCAAAGTGGGCCAGGACTAGGAGAAAGGATGGTGCGTCCAGACAGAGCCCCCTTCTGTGGCCTGGGCATGACCTGACAGCTTCTACCCCTAGAATCCCTGGCCAGAGTCCATTTGCCATCCCCTGAGGTCCTGGCCGTGCTGCCTGAGGTGGCCCCAGGCTCGCGCCCAACGTGCGGCAGGAGGCACAAGAAGAGGACCTTCCTGCGTCCGCGCATCATTGGCGGCTCATCCTCACTGCCTGGCTCCCACCCTTGGCTGGCCGCCATCTATATCGGGGACAGCTTCTGCACCGGGAGCCTCATCCACACCTGCTGGGTGGTGTCTGCTGCCCACTGCTTCTCCAACAGGTGCGCAGGGCAACCTAAGCCTAGTGGCGCCCCACCCAGCCCGCTGTCCCATCACCCAGCCCACTGTCCCATCACCCAGCCCACT